TCAAGTTTCAAAATCTCATATTCCAAAAGAGTCCGGATTAAATGATATCGCAATTGTATGTGCTTTGTCCTGGAATGAAAAGACGGATTCTTTGCTAGATGTATAGCACTTTGACTGTCGCAATACAAGACATTGTTTTCTTGTTTCTTGCCTAACTCTTCCAAGAAACTTTGGAGCCAAACCATCTCCTTGCTAGCTTCCGTAACAGCGACATATTATGCTTCAGTTGTGGAGAGAGCAACTATCTTCTGTAGTTGAGAAACCCAACTCACTGCAGTTCCTCATAGAGTATAGACATACCCTGTAGTGCTCCTTCTGATGTCAACATTTCCGGCTAAGTCAGCATCTACATAGCCTGTCAGTATCGTATCTCCACCTTTGAAACAAAGTGCTTTGTTTATGGTACCCCGTAGATATATGATGATCCATTTGACTGCTTCCCAGTGTACCTTGCCCGAATTATTCATGTACCTGCTAACAGCTCCCACTGCTTGAGCAATATCTGGTCTGGTACAAACCATGGCATACATCAGACTTCCAATCGCTGAGGCGTACGACACCTTCACCATGTGTGCACGTTCTTCCTCCGTCTTTGGTGATTGTTCTTTGGAGAGTCTGAAATGAACACCTAAAGGTGTACTTACTGGTTTAGCATCTTGCATGTTGAACCTGGAGAGTACTTTGTTGATGTACTCAGCCTGTGATAATATCAAAGTCCCTGACTTTGTGTCTCTCTTGATCCTCATCCCAAGAATCTGCTTTGCAGCGCCCAGATCCTTCATAGCAAACTGCTTTGACAATTTTTGCTTCAAGTTTATAATCTCTTGCATGTCTGAGCCTGTAACGAGCATGTCATCAACGTACAACAATAAAATAATGAAGCTATTGTCGAACCTCTTGATGTAGCAACAATGATCTGCTTGGCATCTGGTAAAACCACTGCTACTCATGAAACTATCGAACTTCTTGTACCACTGTCTAGGAGCTTGTTTTAAACCATACAAGCTCTTCTTCAACCTGCATACCAGGTTTTTCTTGTCTGCCTCTATGAAGCCTTCTGGCTGCCTCATATAGATTTCTTCCTCCAAATCACCATGAAGGAAAGCTATCTTTACATCTAACTACTCAAGATGTAAATTCTCTGCAGCTACAATTTTCAACACCAGTCTGATTGTAGACAGTTTCACGACTGGAGAGAAAATTTCATTGTAGTCAATACCTTCTTTTTGCTGAAAACCTTTGACAACCAATCTCGCTTTGTAGCGTTTGCTCCCATCGTGCTCTTCTTTGATCCTGTAAATCCACTTGTTGTGAAGCGCTTTCTTGTCTGGTGGTAATTCAGCTAATTCCCACGTCTGATTTGACAAAAGCGAGTCCATCTCATCTTTCATGGAAGACTCCCACTTGACTGAATCCTTCACTTGCATTGCTTCATCATAGCACTCTGGTTCATCATTGTCAGTCAGCAACAAGTAGTGCAAAGAAGGAGAATACCGTTGGGTTGGTTTAGGAATTCTGGAGGAGCGTCTTAGTTCCGGTGTGCCTGGTTCTTCTTGAACTGCTTCAGGACTGATCTAAACACCATTTCCAGAAATCTCCTCAAACTCAGCAAATTCCTTTGTTTCAGCTTTGGTATTGGAGCTGCTTGATTCTACAGTTGACCTGTCTTTGTACATCACATTCTCATTTAAAATGACATCTCTGCTTCTAATGATCTTCCGATTTTCATAGTCCCAAAACCGGTAACCGAACTCATCACCGCCGTAACCAACAAAGGCACATTTATTGGACTTAGCATCAAGTTTACTTCTTTCAGCAGAGTCTATGTGTACATAAGAAATACAACCAAACACTCTTAAGTGTGAAAGGTTTATTTCTTTCTTGCTCCAAACTTCCTCTGGTATTCTGCCATCCAAAGGAACTGAGGGCCCACGGTTGATCAGGTAAGCTACAGTGTTAATAGCTTCAGCCCATAGAAATTTGGGCAATCCGGCATGTATCCTCATGCTTCTGGCACGTTCATTCAGAGTTCTGTTCATGCGCTCTGCTACGCCATTCTGCTGCGGTGTCATGGGAACTGTTGTCTCCATCTTGATCCCATTGTTTGCGCAAAAATCTCTGAATCTCCTATTTTTGTACTCTCCTCCATTGTCAGACCTCAACCGCTTGACTTTCATACCATTCTCATTTTCCACCATGTCCTTCCATTTTCTGAAGGTATCAAAGACTTCTGATTTTTTCTTCAAAAAATAAACCCACACCTTCCTTGTAGAATCATCAATGAAGGTGACATAATATAATGAGCCTGCAAGAGATGGAACTGGAGATGGTCCCCATACATCAGTATGAACTAACTCTACCTTTTCAGCCTTGGGTGTCTTACCAATCTTTGTAAAGCTGACTTTCTTTTGTTTGCCAAAGATGCAATCCTCACATAGTCCGACATCTACATTCTTTAGATCCGGCAGCTTCCCCTTTGACAAAAGTGTCTTCATCCCTTTCTCGCTCATATGGCCAAGCCTTTGGTGCCATAGGTTTGATTTTCCATCAGCATCTGCTACTGCAATGATATTCTCTAAATTTGAGGTTACATAGAGAGTACCAGTCTTCTTACCACGAGCAATGACGAGTGCTCCTTTGGTAATCTTCCATTCACAACCTGAAAAGGTTGTACTGTATCCTTCTCCATCAAGTTGTCCTACAGAAATCAAATTTCTTTTGAGACCAAGAATATGTCTCACTCCAGTCAGCTTCCAGGTGGTCTGGTTTGGCAGCTTTAGTCGGATGTCTCCTTTTCCGACGATCTTCAAGGTTTCATCATCAGCAAGATGAACCTTCCCAAAATCACCACTGACATAGTTCTCCATTATTTCTTGGCATGGCGTGGAGTGGAAAGATGCCCTTGAATCCAAAATCCATGATTCAATTGGACTGTTGACGCTTAAAATCATGGCATCACCTGTCTCCTCCGTCATGTTGGCAGATTCCTGTGCGCCAGTATTTTTCTTCGGTGCTCGGCAATCTCTTTTAAAGTGGTCCTTCTTGCCGCAATTATAACAGGTAAAATCTTTATTTCCTGTTCTTGATTTTCCCCTTCTGGATTTCGATCTGCCAAGATTTGAATTTCTTTCTGAAGTTCTCCCTCTGGACTCCGTGTGCAAGGCTGAGGAGGTTGATGCTTCACCCGATTCTCTCCGTCGAATTTCTTCGCTCAGTACCAGATCCCGAACATCGTCGAATTTTAATTTGTTGTTTCCCGATGAACTGCTGACTGCTGTAACAGTAGCATTCCAACTGTCTGGTAAAGATGATAAGAGAATTAAAGCTCGAACTTCATCATCAAATTCAATTTCCACTAACTCAACTGGGTTGTGATTGTGTTGAGTTCATTTAGGTGTTGTGCCACCGATGCCCCTTCCGGCATCCGCAAATTGAATAATCGCCTCATCAAATGAACTTTGTTTGAGGCCGATGGCTTCTCATACATACTGGAAAGAGCCATCATAAGACCCGCCGTGGTCTTTTCCTTTGCTATGTTGAAAGCAACATTGCGGGATAACGTCAGTCGGATAACTCCGAGGGCTTGTCTGTCGAGAAGAGCCCAGTCTTCATTCTTCATGCCCTCTGGTTGTTTTCCTGAGAGGGGTTGATATAGATTTTTCTGGTATAGAAAATCTTCAATTTGCATCTTCCAAAATCCAAAGTCCGCACCATCGAACTTTTCAATTTTCACCTTCCCTTCGTCTGCAGCCATCGCTCCCACTCGAATCTGGCTTCGTTTGGATCGTTTCTGAAAATTTTTGCGAACCGCCGTGTATTAAAACACCTCCTTCGACAAACTCGTATCGCCGACCGAATTTCACTATTCACGAAATTCACTATTCACGTGAATAGTAACTTGAATAGTAACCTCGAAAAAAATTGACAAAATTCACAACCCAAAAGCTCTGATACCAGTTGTTGGGAAATAAACCAAGTACAAGTAATTTCCCTATAACCAGATTAGTGAGAATGCAAAATAAAAGCGAAAAAATAATACCCGAAATTGATAACGGAGTTCAGCCAATTGTGCTTACGTCTCCGGACTGCTGCAGATCTTTTACTAAGAGAGAAAATTTACAGGTGTTTACAAAACACTCACTACTCACAAGAAAGCTCTCTAATATTGGGAGAAAGAAATGATTTTTGGGATGGTTTTGAAGCTAAATGAGCTAGGGTATTTATAGTTGAAACTTAAGGACTTAATCTTGTAAATACCCTAAAACCTAGGGATTAATTGTGATTATCCCATTATCATTTTTCAACAAACATCTACCAAACTTTGAAAACTATTTTTCAAAGAAACATTTACCAAACTTTGAAAACCATTTTCAAAGAAACATTTACCAAACTTTGAAAACCATTTTTTCAAAGTTGGTTACCAAACTTGAAAACCATTTTAATACTTTCAACAATAACACCCTAGTTAACGCCATCCTAATCTTCTTTGTTGTTCGCGAGTCCTCTTCCAATAGGGAACCCAAACGTTCCAAAACAGGCAACAAACATGTTCCAGCCGCCGACTGGAACTGATGACTCCTTCATGCATAAAACTCCTATTTTCTCAAAATAAGTCTACTCTTTCCTTATATCTTTAAATCCATAATATTTCTTCATTTTCATTTTTTACGTATAACATATGAGATTGGGATCGGATTAAGATCAAATTTATAGAAAAGTTCTAAAACTGAGTTTGGGTAGTTTAATTAACATATTATTGGGATTCGAATCAAGATCAGATTAAGTTAAGAGTTTATCAGGTCAAAATTGGGACAAACAATTAACTCGTCCTCCCATTATCATCCATATCAAACTACATAAAAAAATAATTACATGAAGATTGAATCTCCATTTGTAAAACAAAAATTAAGTATTACAAGCGTTCAATTGCACAATCAAAAACAGAGATGTACCATACTAAAATAAGAAAATTCCAATTGTCATCATCATTCTCATTTAGTGCTCAAGTTTGTAAAGCTCTAATTGTTCTACTCCATCCCTATACACTAACTATTTCCAAGTCAATCCTTTCACTTTCCTGCTCTTATTTTCATGTCTGGCCCTCCACCACCAAAAGTCATCCAATTAATGCCATAATTTCCCCCTTTGAATGAAATGAAACAATAATCTTCCTCAAAAGACTTTGCTTTTTGAGTTTGCTAGTCTATGAATTGATTTTTCTTTAGAATTGTGCAATGAAATCTCCTTCACCTCCAGCTTTAATGAACAAGTCGTAGCAAAACTCCATTGAATCATCATCAAGATTTTGACGAGCATCCACTGTATGATCGATCGAACACGAAGGAAATTGAGGCCGGTTTTCGTCGGTGACCGCTTTGAAGTTTAACGGCGGAATGCTCGAATTATCGGACCAGAAACTTTCGTCGATTTCGGGGAAACATTCCGAAGAATCCACCATGTATTCGGCCTTGTCGTTAACTTCCCTATGATCAGTGGTGTCTGTAATGGAGGAAACTTCGCTTGATGATGATGGTATCCCGTCACTCGATTGGCTTACGATGGACGGCTCGGATTTGATCTTGTTGTTAGACTTGGTGTTGTTTCTGATGATGTCTAGTCTGGTCTGGTCTTGGTTTGGTTTCTTCTTCAAGTGAGTGTGCCATACATTTTTTATCTCATTGTCTGTCCTTCCTGGTAATTTCGCTGCTATGGCTGACCACCTGAAAGTTTTGGAAAACCAAAATTATATAAGCCATTTTCTATTATTTTATCAACGTATTGACGTGATATTATTTTATTTTAATCACTTGTCGTTAAAAAATAAACATAACATGTGATATTATTTTTATTTTTTTAATAATGATGTGATATTATCTTAGGGGTAACATGTCAATATTACCGTTAATTTTTTAATCGATAGGTGATCAAAAAGAAACCAAAACATATCGTTAATTATATACATAGTTTACCCTATATATAACAAAATTCCATTAAAAATACATACAAACAATTAATAATGAAAGGGATGTTTCAGCTCACTTGCAGTATTTTTAGTACTTAAAACCAACCCACAGAATGTGAAGAAAATAGACCAAAAGGGGGAAGCTAAAACAATGACTTGCACCATTTTATTTCTCCAAAAATTTCAAAATAAAAATAAATTATTATATATTAATATTCAATTTACCGACGATGTATAGTTCTATAGACCATTAGTAAATTAGGTGATAATATATCATCACAAAATAATTTTGTTAACTTTATACTTATGTGAATGAAATATTTACCCATAAAATATTTCCATAAAGGAAATGTTGTTTTAAACTTACGATTTTAAGATAATCAGACATCCAGACATAAGAAAGGTTTATTTCTAACCCAGTCCCCATATTTAAACTTATAAAAATTTTAATTCCGAGAATTTGATCCCTCTATTTGTCTGATTTTAAAATTAAAGTCTGAATGATAACAATTTAATTGATTTTCTGTTGAATTTGAAGGATTAAGTTACTGGAATTAGAAGCAAAAGGACTAAATTTCAAAAGTTTTAAAGATCAGGGGATTAGGAAAAAATTAGACCCTAGAAAATAGTAACGATCCTTTTTGAGACATACCTGTTCCCAAACATTCCATGCAGTTGCATGATGGTTTCCTCTTCCTCCAAAGTGAAGTTTCCCCTCTTAATATCAGGCCTTAAATAGTTTATCCAACGTAATCTGCAACTCTTCCCGCATCTCAAAAGACCTACAAATACAAGTTGAACAACAACAAAAATTATCGGATAAACCACGAAGAATGTGTTTTATGTATTCAAAAACGAAAATTTTCCCAGGAAAACTGGTTGATGAACCGTGGAATATCTGAATATAAAACGGAAAATTTTTTCCCAGGAAAACTAGTTGATGATCCATAGAATATATGAATAAGAAATGGAAAATTTTCCTAGGAAAACTAGATGATGAACCATAGAAAAATTTACCAGCTTGCTTTGGTAAGGCTCGCCAATTATCATGGCCATGCTTTTGAATATATGAGATCAAAATCTGGTCTTCTTCAGGAGTCCATGGACCCCTTTTAAATCCCATATTGTCACAGCAAGGAGCTCTCACCATTTCTTTTGTTAATTCAATGAACACAAAAGATTTTATAATCTCAATAGTTTGAAGATTTGTTCGGCCTCTCTTGTGGGATATTTATATACACGAATTTGCTGGGAAAGGAAAGGCTTTGGAAGTATCAATATTCAAACAAGTAGGGTGAGCAATTTCCAGGAAAAAGCCTTTTTTTTACATGATATATTTTCTCTCCACACAAAAATTCCAAAGAAGTGTGTGTGTATGTATATTATTATATTAGCCAAAGTTTGAACAGTTAGTTGATATATTTCTCGATATGTCGTGTAATGAAGAATACAAGTGCATTAAGCAGACAAATGTTTCAGGTATTTATACAATTATACTTGATTATTTCGTAATTAAATAATAATTTAGCAAACATGAGCATATGACGCCTTCTTTAAAACGAAAAAGAAAATGAAGCAGCCAAAGTTAGATTAGAGCTTCGAAAATGACATTTAATAATAATAATAATAAGGGTAAATTACATGTTTAGTATCCCAACTATCATTTTATTCAGTTTTAAACATCTAACTATTATTATTTTTCAAATCATATCTAATGTTACATTTTATCACGTACCGTTAAAAAACAATAGAAATGCTGACGTAAATTTTTTAAAAAAAATTCAATGATGAAATAACATTACCTTATGGTGACACGTCAACATCACTGTTAATTTTTTAATAGAGGTGACCAAAATGAAACCAAAATATAACAACATATATGATTTTAAAACAAAATATAGTTTGATGACCAAAACAGAACAAAAGTGATAGTTGAGGTATTAAACGTGTAGTTTAACCTAAATAATAATAAAGTATTAAACTGCTTTAGTTAATTGTTTTTTGAATCAAATTGGTCCAAATGAAATAATTTTAAACAACAAAAACGACAAACCATAGGCGTATATATCCTCTGGGGGATTGGAATATAAAATGGTGGACTCCGAATATAACCATGGGGGCTCAACATGTAAATTGGAAGGCTCAACATGTAAATCGGAAGGTTCGCATGTATATCGACGGGCTTGTGATGTAACCCAATGGGCTCAAAGTTGATTTAGTAGTGTTTCCAGTAGCTTTGATCAAGACGGGCCGAGAGTGTCTACTTTTCGTCCATGATTAGTTGGGGATGATGATATTATATCGTGCGTCATTAGGAAGTATGAATGGATTTACGTTTTCGTTGAATCGTGAAACCAGATTCCAATATATAATGACAAACATGAAGCTCCCACATCGCTATCCACCCACTATGCTTCTACCTTCAATCAACACCATGATTGCCTCGTATGTCAAGTTTATGCCTATTGTTGAGATTCACGACTACTTTCGAAATAAATTATGTGAAACTAAATTGGCGACGCACACGATCACTCGAATCCCACTCGATAGTAGCATAACAAATAAGAGACACAACTACTAGTCACACATCCAACAAATTTTTGCTCGATTAATACTATGATATCTTGTTATTCATCAGGTATATCATGGTGGTTTTTTATTGATGACGAACATCTATTTAATATAAAAAATATTTTAATTAATTGTATATCAATAAATTTTTTATAAATAGATTAATTATTCAAATTACATTAGTAAGAAAAGGAAGACAAATAATTTTTTTAACAATCAGACATAAAAAGGCATACGATAACATGCCTAAGATTGGAGAAGGAGACAATCGCTAATACCATTTTTGGTATATCTCGCTACTCAACATGTTTCTCTAAAGAGATATGTTAAAATTGTCGATCCCTAACTGAATGTACTCGTGTAACACCGTAAAATCGATTAGGCATAAAATGACACACTGAGCTACCGAGGTAACCCCTGATTTTCAAACCTGTACATTTACTTTTCAAACATGTTGAATAGTATCATAAATAAATCATAAATATTGTTATAAACTCATTTTACAAAACTGAAGCTCCGTGACATATAATTTAGAATCAAAATAATATAAACTTTGAGTTTAGTAAACTGAATACATATGCCCACTAAGCTACGGTACAGTACTCTAAAGGTGATGTTGGGAATCCTACTGCGACAATGTTCCACGAACTGTTCATGCTACAAGCCTACCAATGAAAAACATCCGAAGGATGAGCTTACAAAGCCCAACAGTATAATCGCTAATCTAGAGCAGCTTAAAAATTCATAAATATAATCATGTCGAATATGTGGTACTAAGCGATAGGTACATGCATGATCTAGATTAAGTGCTACCTACTTAAGGCTTAGTTGTTCTATCTCTGAAGTATGGGTCTCTAACCCTAACGTCTGAATCTGCTACACATTATCTAAATGTGTTACTGGCTCTAATATACATTATATGAATGTCATACTAACTCTGGTGTGTATTATCTGAATGCAATATTGATTATGTTGTGACTCAAACACTAGTTGTGGCAGGCATCATTGTGCGGCTGAAGGGCTATATCTCGGAGCTCACGCACCCCTTTATCCTACTGGAATACATTCGGGTACCTAAGATGAGATCTGGAACTGCATCGAAAACGTAGACCTAGCCCCTCAGACATATGGGGTGAGATCCAGAGCTGTATTGAAAACGTACACCCCGCCAACTTACTTCGTCGAGTCTTAAGGCATCTGCGCCCAACTGGAAAGAGAAGTGCCTCGGCACTGACTGGTATATACCTGAACATACTGACAAACAAGACAATCACCCTACTGCTAAAGTAACTCGTGTGTCCTGGTTGTTTCTCGAGTGTCACACAAAGGCTAGTTTTATGACCTCCTAGCTGTTACTACTATTGTTTTTGTTTTTAGCTGTGTTGAGTTATTACTGATCTTGTTTACTATTTTTCCTAGTTGTTATCTTGTTCGTTCTCTCATCTAGAACATAATGTGAGGGTTAATTAATTTGTTATTATTGATAATCCGTATTGATCTGGTTATTCGATACTTAAGGGAATTTTAGTCATTCTCTGACTATGAGGGAAATCTCTACGTGGTTCGAGACTTCATGGCGATTATTGTGCTTACTATTTACTAGTTGTGGTTCTAGTTGACCTGATATCTAACTTGGGCTCATTCCTGGGTAGCAATACAATATTCGCTATTACCGTGTTTCCCCTCGATTCGCCCTTGAATTAAAGGAATATTTATGGTATACCAAACTGTTGTTTCATAATATGATTCCTTGGTCATACCCTCGATGGTATACCCTGTACACTGATCTCCCATCTATAATTATCTATTATGTATTCACTGAATATACTTGGACGTGTTATGTCTGCTATAGTTACTCTGGTTATAACACACTCCTACAAGTGTCTCTAGGTACCTTTGTCCATTTTTGTCTCTCACGGACTAAGCTTCATCTTTACGGACCATCCCAAGCTCTTAAAACCTTAATCGGGTCAAAACTGATCATCTGATATGGGTAGTATCGATACTCTAGCTGTAGTATCGATACCCTATGGCCAAGTATTGATACATCTATGAGTATCGGTACCAAAAATACATTTTGCTGTTGAAATTGGGCCTGGTCACGAGACCAACACTTACAGTCTCGAGACTAAATGGGCAATATTGATACTCCTTTGGTAGTATCGATTCTATTTGCCCAGAAACCCTAATTTTTACCTGATTCATATAGTATCGATATTGTTCATTCCAGTATCAATACTCTAACCCATAAATGGATATTTTAGGCTCAAATAAACGCCCAAAATCATCCTAAATGACTTGGGTTAGTTTCTAAATTGATTTCGAAGTTTTAGTAAGTTATTTAGGTTCCTTAGGTGTTATAAAAACACTTTCTTTACATCTAGAACATCATCTATGGAATGAATCAAGTTTGAACCCTAAAATGTTCAACTACAAAAATCTTGGCAACTTCATGAAATTTATGACAGCGTAATACCCCAAAGGATTAGAAATACACTACCTTACTGATTGAATCTTGAAATTGAGCTTTTTTAGCTAGAAATAATCCCCCACCATGGCTTGGATAATAAAACCCCTAACTTTCTCTTGTAACACATACCTTGAATGGTTAAATCCATGTTGCTTGAGGGATTAAGAACGTAAATTAAACTTGAAAAAAAGTAAGAAATGGTTCCATGGACTCACATTGGCTTGAGGATCTTGAGGAAGAAGAATGAGAAAATGGAAAAATAAGATTAAGAAAATGAAATGAGAGAATATAAAAGCTCTCATCCATAAAAATCAAGTAATTACACTGTTAGTCCCTCCTCATCTTCCAACTATGCAAAAGTTCCCTTTTATGGCTAATTGGCCTAAGACCAACCCAACTAAGCCCAACGACTTTAAGTATAATTTATGTTGGTCCACTTACCTCTTGGGTAGACCCTAAACTGTTAGCCCATAATTTAAGTTGTTACAGCTCACTTCTTCAAAAATAACGAAGTGACACAGCCACATAACATGCACTTGGTTGTGAGAATTATATGGAAGATCCCTCCAATGAGTCGTAAAATATATGTCCGAGTAAATGATTTTGCCTCCTCATTAAAACAATTTTCGTCTAACTCTTGAAAATTTTCTTGAAGCCATGTCAACGAGATTCGATCACTGTTAAACAAATTTGAAGATTTTCTTAAATATTGTAAGCACAAAACATGCCAATTATCCACCACCGCACCAGTAAGAATACTCCATCCATCGGAAGTTCCAACTACATTGAAACATCCTCTAAAGTAATGGTGCACTCCCTACATGAAAGATGGAAGTGTGTCTCTGGTCTCTACTTCTCGATTAGTGCAAATATGAGGGTGGATTAAAGTAATTTACTGCCTACAATTATTTGTTATACATACCCAAATCCAACATCAACTAAATAACTTCAAATACGAGTCAATATGGGCATATTAGTGTCATGGGTAAAAATTTCCAATATATGATCATTTTCCTAATGGATAAAAAATAATATATTAGAGTTTAAAATATTCAATAAAACATTAAAATAAATAAATAAACATAATTAAATATTTTTATCATATTCACTAAATGAGACGAATGTGATTTTCATCCAA